TGTGATAGCATTTATTATACGTTCATAAACTTATTTTTATACAATTCTTAATATTTGTAAAATAACAATGTTTATTTTTCTAATATTAAGACTTAATTTGTGTAAAATTTGAGAGCACTACAAAATAATCTTGACAAGAGGAATTTTACAGAAAGAAATAGTAGAATTTGTGAAGTGATTTAAAACTCTTCAAAACACCATTTTAAAATACATACAATTATTTGCATTATTTAATTCGAGACAAATTTAAAATAAGTCAAATCTGCCCTGATACGGAAAAAGGCGGCTAAGTGCATTTTGGCGATTTTGAGCTTTCAGCACCACTAGACTAAGCAAAAAATTCTCTATCGACCAATATTGGAATTATATTTTTACGATTGATAGTTCCTGAGATAAATTAAGCATTTTGGCGGTTAAGTGCAAAATTTTCTTTGCTGTCATACGTTAGAAATCAGTTACGATGCACCGTTACGCTATATAGCCGTTAAAAGATTTTAACGGTTTATTTTCGTATTTGAAAGTTAATATTTGATGTTATAAAACTAAGAAAAAATGCAGTTAAACACATTTTCTAAGCTAAGAGGCAGTTAAGCGTAAATAACTGCTTTATTTCTTAGTTTCTCATGCTAGGCTAGACCTAATAATATGCTAAAAAGCGGTAAACACTTGTTGTAGAAGCTAAAATACGGCTAAAAACACTTAACTGTTTTCGAGCGTAGAATTTAAAAAATATATTAAAGTCACGTACTTCCCAAAGAAGCATTCACTGCTTTTTAGTGTATGATGAACCTTTGAATTATATTTGGCACAATATTTAAACAGCGGCGAAGTGAATGTGCTACTCTAAAAAGCGTCTAAGTGTAAGATTAGCAATCGATGTGTACGCGAAGAATTTAGATCAGCAAGTTTTAAGAGTTAAAAAATGTATGATCAGACCTCTTGTCCGAGTGCGTCAGAGTTTTATTCTTTGGTTTGGGTTTTGATTTAGAAAACTGTATAATATTTCTCCGAAAAAATGTGTCTTTTCTGATGAAAAGGACTTTAAGGCTCAATTTTCCCATTAAATTTCAATTAAATTGCGAGGAAGAAATTTAATAGAATTTAAAGTAAATAAAATAGTTATATTTATTTTTAAAATAAAACTAGTTTTTACGGATTTTATCGCGTATATTAACTTATTTTAGTATTCCCGACGTTTCGAGCACTTTACAGCAACTATGGTCACGGGAGGGACTGAGGTCTTCGGCGTCCCGATGTAATAGTTACCCGGGGTTATTTACAGATTAAAATTATTAATTTTTGTTCCGGTCTACACACTATGAACTAAGAGTATCTTGAAGTCTTGAGGTTGTATGCTTGGGTTGGGTTTTATTTTTAAACCTTAGTCTCCCCGTGACCATGGGTGCTGTAAAGTGCTCGAAACGTCGGGAATATAAAAAAGTTAATATACGCGATAAAATCCGTAAAAATTAGTTTTATTTAAATGTGTAATGTTCGCGTAAATATGAGAAATCGTTACATATTTATTTTTACAATTATATTTTCTACTCATTTTAAATTTAAGTTCATGAACTTATATGAATATTTTTTTAAACTGGCATCTCCATTGAAATTCCCACAGTCATACCATATACAGCTTAGTACTTGACCTAAATAAATTAAAATTAATATAAAAATAAAAATTTGCTATTTTTATATCTTAAAACCCTGATTTACTTGGTACTTAAAAACTAGTCAATAATAGCACATTTTATTCAAAATCCTCTCTAATACGTGAAAAAGAGCGTTATAGTCATCAAAAAATAATTTTAAAATACGTTACGGCCAAGGAGTGTTCAATTCAATTTGGAGGTAGCTTGCGCTGCTACTACTGCTGCTCGGGTGCCAAGCAAAAAGGTCTGACAATAGTTTTTATTGTGTATAGGTGGACTTTGATTATCATCACACCAAATTCATAAACTAATATTTTTTCCTAATTAAGTATTAAATCGTTTCCGAACGTAAGGGAGCTTACCTCTCCCTTCTTACATTACTTGAGTATTTATATATTTTTAATTTACACCTTGAATAATGCCTTGATTTAACAAAGGCAAGAAGTTAGTAAACGTGGCGAGAAAATAGACAGGAGAAGACTGTAAACCATTTAAACTTAATCAGTGGCCACATTGGACACTCCCCGTTCTTTAATAATTGATTCACTTTGGTGTTGATCATACTCTATGGATCTCATAAGTGATTCTGAATCAATTTACAAAATTTTATCAACTTCGAAAGTTAAGCGAAAAATAAAGATACACAATGAATTCACCTAACTGAAAACAAATAAAACGCTTAGAATATTTTTTATTATGAAGAAATGACCATCTATAAGCGATGTTTATAATTGTGATTATTTATATACGCTATGCATATCATATGACGTGACGTGTAATGATTATATTATATTTAATTGTATAGTTCAATATAGCCTTTCGAGTGATGTCGGGACTGCCGTGATTTTGCAGTGCATCAGGGATGTAGTACTACGCCAACGTATCACGTCTCTTATGTGCAGAGTGCGAGGGAGCTCCAATGAAGGTTATTGGTGGTAGAATAGAATATTTTTTTATTCAATATAGATTACAAGTAATTATTATTGGAAGTCAATATTTTACGTTATCACTGGTTCGAAGAAAAAACCTCTGTCATGGGAAGAACCAGCAAACCAGACTGTCCAGTCAAGGACACTGGGTATACATACATGGAGACACTGGATATATACATATGCGTGTATACCAAGTGCCACAAACTAGCTCGGAAAATATTTAAATTAATGTTTTAGTGTTGTTTTTATTAAGTTTTACTAACATAATTTGTAAATTCATATTTTGTACTAACACTTTTAGGGACCAAAAGTCTGAAATAAGTTCATTTTATTTTTTTAAGAATTGATCGCTATAGATAAAAACTGTGTGCCACCGATGAACATGTCCCAAAATAACTCCAAATATGCCAAATAGTATCGTTACATTGAATTAGCTGATAAAGATTTTAACTCCGGTGAAGCTTTGAATTCAGTAAATAAGCCGCCGAATAGCTCCAAATTCAAAGAAGTCTATGTCTATCTATAAGTTAAAGTCTGTAAAATTACTTACTCGTACCATCTACAGTACGTCTTCCAGTACCCGTAGAAGAGCGTCATTATTAAGAATAAAGCGGGGAAGATTTTGAGTCCGATGATTCGGTAAAAGAATGGACTATGTACCGTCAGTGGAGACGCCGCAAAACAGTTCTGATTCCGAAGAAGACGACAATCAGTCGATATCAAGCTTTATGCCACCTACCAATTTCCATGATAAAAAAATCAGTAAATAAATCAGATTCGTCAGATTGGATTAAGCAGAAGATGGAGAAATATAATTGAAAACGGTTTAGCAGAGCAGAAAATCACATTTCAAAATAAAAAGAGGTTCTTTTAGAATAAAAAACAATCCCTTGTTTTTCCTTATAAATGTTTGTGCTAAGCATGAATAAAGTTTTAATATTATTTAAACTGAAGCACATTTTATTTTACACTTAGTAACTTTTCAAACTTACATAACAAAAATATACCTGTGCTAATACTAACCAAAAAAGCGGTTCCGTGAGATTGATGTATATTTAACTACCTTTTAGTTTAATTGCACTTCTATTTAATTTGATTATTTTCTGATAAACTATATACTATAAGGCAATCATATCACTTAACAGCAATAAAGTGTAGTCCAAGTGTATAATTTAAATAAAGGTTAGCCGCATTTTTGCGTATGATTATTGTCAATGCTATACTAAAAAACATTTAAGGTATATTTAATGGCCTTTTATTTTGTAATTAATATTCAAATATTATGTTTCTATACTTACGTTAACTATATTTTTAGAGTTTACAGAACAGTATGCCAATAATTTCATTCAAAAATATTTATGAAAGATTCGTATTTTTTTTTACATGGATTCCAATAATTGAAAAATTTTTTCGGTGATATCTATCAAGAAAACTAATTTCGCGCTTTTTTAAATTTTTCTCGAAACATACTTTTGTGGCTTAGCTGCCTTCTTTCGTATCAGGGCAGAAATTAATATACTACCGATTGTTAGTAACACGTTTTTAGGGTACCGTAGTTAAACAACAAGGAATCCTAGTTTTGCCATGTCCCTCTGTCCGTCCATCCGCGATTTTACTCAGAAATCATAGTTACTACAAAGCTGTAATTGAGATTTATCATAGTATATACAATAAACACATTTAAAAATTATAATATAATATCTTGATTTTTTTTGGGTGCCTCCTACAAGTGATTTAGTTTTACCCGTCTGTTTAATCGTGTCGGGTATCGACACATTAGTATTTTAATAATATTCAGGGAATTTAACAACAATATCTCGTTTAAGGAGTCCATTTGCGAAATATTTACCTTTAAATTGGTATTTTTTTATAAAATCATGGAGTCATACAAACACAGCAGCATTAAACTGCTATTTTACGCTGGTAATATTATGGGAGTTACATGTTAACTCAAGAACGTACCAAATAATAAAATGAGTATGGATGATGATGATGAAATCTTCTCTCATAATTTTTTTTAGTGAATAAAGTAGAAACAATAAAATAACAAGACTAAATACTTTTAAAATTTTATTGTGTCATCTTCAAAATGCATGTTGTGTTTTTCCGCGTAAAATAATATTCCTTTAATAACGATTTTAATAATTAGTAATTGTATAACATGTTTCAATAATTTTGTAACTAGTTTTTAGTTTATTAATACTTGACACTCATGTTTAGGAAACTTAGTACAAGTTATGCAAACCTCATAATACTCCTTACATTGTAACGTTTCTTAGCAACTAGGATCTTTTAGGGTCTTATTTTATCTTTAGAGCTGTTCATTATTTTGCTATTTATATATGTATCTTAAACTGGAATCCTTACAACTGATAGGTACTCGTTACTAGCGTTCTATTTTGTTTTTGCGTATTACTTATAATAATTCGAGTTCAGTAGTCGGTACAGCTAAGAAAAACTTCTTTATTGAGTCTACGGCTTTAGCTATCAATTCCTTGATGGTAGGTGCTCCAATCTCAGTAATTAATTCCTTCCAGCTGTTGTTCAAAATATCTAGAATTGGTTTAGCTGTAAATAAAACAAGATTTTTTTAATGTTTGTTGTTGACTGTTTTTATTTCTAAATACACACCATAAATAAAGATTCAAGTATTTGCCTGAAATTTCATAGTAAGTGTAATAAATTTCATACTCAAGTTACCTAGCCAATTTTTTAAATTTTTAAACTCTGATTATTTGTGGTGTAGAAATTATTGTATTTAAATTACTATTTAAATCTATTATCGTAACTTCGTATGAGAAAATTTCACTTTAAATAAAAAGTAATTACAAACATGCCAATTTTGAGGGAGTGTAGTCTTTGAATGCTTAATTTATTAGTGTAATATAACCAGTTTATAGCTTCTTGTTATTCTTGAGTGTAAAAAAATGCTTAAAATAAATAAATAAAAATTTATTTCACTTATTTTCTAATGTAACAAAGGATGCATTATGCTACCATACTTTTTACTACTTTATAACTTAGTAAACATTCCTCAGTTCTAGTGCTTGCGAACAATCTTGAGGTTGATCTTATTAATCAAAATACCTCAAGCTGCGACTTAGATTTACGTAACCAGCTGAGTGAGGCACTGTTTAATATACGAAATTCGACTGTCAGGGGGGAACACGGGCGACAATATATTGGGGGGGTGGGGGGGTTTTTATATATATATATATATATATATATATATATATATATATATATATATATATATTTCAGGCCAAACTAGTTTGTCCTAGGCCAAATCGGTTTACCTAACGCGTGTCAGACATACTAGTTCAGCCCAAGACAATCCAATTTGGTGTAAATACTTTAGGTTTAATTGTTTTGAACTAGGAAGAACTAAGTAAATGAAAATAATTGTTAAACCTTCATATTCTCAACGTGTGTTTTAGTAATTGGTCTTAATTGTTCTAGTTTATCTTAAATTATTACTCATTCTTAAATTGTTTAAGGGATCTTACAATCTTGGGTTGGCCATAGATGTTCAGTACTTGATTTTAATTTAGTTTTTAGTTTAGGGGGCTGGTCAGGGTTGACCTTTTACACTGTTTTTTCATAAGATCGGTCGAATCTGCTCCAAAACCGAATGAGCACGCCCTGACTTTACGTAGTCTTGTCTGCCCTACCCCTAGAGAGTTTTTGTAAAGCCGTAGGCGCGAAGGGAGAGTAGCCCCCGCCTGCCTTCGCAAATTGCAGGCACCTGTGCAAGCCGCAGTGACTGAGGCTGGTCGCCGAAGGCAACCAATAAGCCAAAGCTGCGGAGGTGAGCTTGGGTGCCTGCGATTTATTACGCAAGGGCGAAACAGTGGCAGAAGTAAATTTAGGTCAATATTAGGTTAGGTTAGGTTAGATTTGATTATGCAATGATTCAATCAATTTTGCCAAAAAAGTTAAGCCTAAAGTATTTAGGCTAAACTAGATTGCCCTGGGCTACACTAGTATGTCCTGAGACGCGTCGGATAAAGCGGTTTGGCCTAGGAAAGTTTGGCCTGAAATCTAGTTTGGCCGCTAACATATATATATATATATATATACATTAACGTGTGTTCTCAATTAGAAACTATTTGAAGTAAGTCATAAAAATAAAAATTAATTTTATTCGAAGCGGCTAATGTCTTGAGTATTCAACGGCCTTATACAATAAATGTCAGAGTCGACAGTACATTTCGACTTAAATTACAAATGTGCATTCGTATTTATATTTTATGTAATGCGTGTGTTTGTGTGTGTGTGTTTTTATATATATAGAAAATGTAAATGAATAGCACTTATTTACTTGCGTAAAAGCAACGTTGCATACTATTACTCTATTGTCTAATGATATATCCAATATAATAACTTTAATATAAGTAATTAAAAATGACGATAAAATTTGTTAAAAACATATTATGCTTACCTCTTGTTTCGTCGCCATTGAAGAGGTTTTCAAGCTTGATATAAACTCTCTCGATAAGGTCATAGGAATAGTCATAACCGGTGATTTTCCAGTGTTTTTGACCATTGTTTCCATTGACTGTCTTATATTTAAGCGTGGCAAAGATCTTAATTTTATCTGTAAAATCAGGCAAGTAAAAATAATTTATTCAATTATTTTATTTACTTAAGTTAAGAAAGTAATTACAATTTGCTCTCAAAAGTGTTTAAAAAGAAATTCTCTGTAGCACGAAAAAGCACGATTAAACTAAACGAAAACTCATCATTAAACCTATCAAAGTCCACTGCTGAACATTCCATAGAATGCCTTTTATATTTGCCATAGCTGCTCAACTTTTCAGGCAGTTTGGCAACCACAGTTTTTTAACTTTCTAGTTGTTATTATAAAGGCTCTGCAACCCATCTCCTAATTCGTTTCCCTCTTTTACCTCTTACGACATCCACGGGACGATATGTGTTAGTTCATAGTGGTCCAATGGCGCTGCCCTCTCATAGTGATTTAATGTAATCAGCAAAATAAACCAAAAATTCACACAAAGCATATGTTCCATCGTCATTAGAATTTAAATATTCTATTCAAAACTATATTATTATTACTACAAATTATTAAATGTACTGATAATTTGAATTCCTAGCTTCTAGGTAAAATGTTTTTATATAATTTGGTTAGACTGCACCTTGCAATTTCATCATCATCATTATCACGTCGATTGGTGAACACAGGCATCCCAGTTAGATTGCTCTGTGGTGAGGATATTTGCTGTAGTTGCCAAGCTTAGAAAGTCGCAGTTTTTTATTATTTTGAGTTGGTATCAGAAAAAAGTTTTTACCCATCTCCTGGTTCAATTCCCTTTGTCGCCTTTTATGTCAGCTACTGAATAGTATGTAACTATGGATATTATTATATTATTTAGCAATTGTTTTGTATTTTTAATTTTATAAGCTAATTTTGTTATTAATTTAGTAAGGGCAATACTTTTATTTTACCCTTATTACAGACAATTTTTTAGAAGCCAAAAATTTTATTAAATTAACGATTTTTATTTGAAATACATCCATATACCCACCTGTTTTATTTCAAAATTGCCGTCCCCTTGAGCTGGGATGAAAAGAAGTTTGCCATCTAACTTATAAAGACCAGTGATTAATGAGGGACAGTGGATTCTTTGACGTCTCTCCTAGAAAAACAAATATAAATTAATAAGATGCGATATTGCAGTAACTCTTGAGGCTTCTTTTTTCTTGTTAAAAGACCCTCCAGACTTACGGAATTGCTTACAATATATTTATAGATTGTTGAAGAACGCAGTAAAATAAGCAAAAAATTTATATATTAAAGTAAAATTATGGATAGTAAAGTAACTTACACAATATTTACAACCTGGCACTTATTAGTGCCAACTAATTTCATATCTCTGAAAGTAAGTTTTAATTCACCCTGACCAGCGTTAATTTCCTTAAAAGTTAGTGAGTCGCCAGAGGAACACCCAGCTCAGGAATACCTTTGCCTAAGTAGGGAATTGCAATTTGGGTACTGGCTTTAAGGCATTCGATGTCATCGCTTTTGCAAGGTTTAATAAACGGAGCTGCAATAAATCAGCTTAGTCATTTTTAATAGATTAGCCGGTCGTACTTTAAAATATGTACTGGGTGTAAGTACTGTTGATAGATTTTTTTTTATATATTAAACTTAGGACCACAAACAAATTCACAATTATTAACTTATCTAATATAATTACTACACATTTTTTATTATTGTGAACTTAGCAACGCTGGTCACTTACTTAATTATAACATTTTTCAACAATAAATAAAGCTTGTTACGGAGTACAACTTGACATTGACAATATCTTGTTATTCTTAATTTAGAAGTAAAATCTAAACAAATTATCGACTGACAAATATTGTAGGGTTATGGTAGGATATATGACACCACTGCTCATTAGTTTTTCTTTTTTAAATGGTCGTGTCATATATTCCACTATCTACTCAATGAGTACTTGTTTAAATTTCTCAGTGACAATCTTCTTATAATTACCTCGTCCAATGGCATTAATATCGATATCATTAAAATTCTCATTGTACGAGTACATCATACGTGATAAAGAGGACCTTCGTCTCGCGTTAGTTCGGCATAAATTAATACAGAAAAGTTTATGAGAATGGGCCACGCACTGATTTTCTCTGGTAGGTACCCTACAATTTATATTCTCAGTTATATCCATACAGTCGTATCTATTGCGAAACAGATCATAAAATAACATTGACTCGAGAATTGTACGCCATGATTTAAGAGTGGTAAGATTATATTTTGCCATGAGTTCATTGTACGGTATTTTTTTTATCGCATATTTATAAAGGATATAATTAAAAATTTCTTCTGCACAATTTCTAGTTTATCTGCACAATTTCTATTTTTTACATAGAGGATTCGAAATAGTCACTGCATACTCTAAATGGCATCTTATTAAGGATTTATAAAGATGTAAGTAAGTCAATGGATTTTTAAACATATTACCAGATCGGATGACGAAACCATACATGTTATAAGCTTTGTTAATAATATTTTCAATGTGTATACGTAGATGAAGTTTAGTGTCTAAAGTTACTCCAAGATCCCTGATTGCTACTTCTTGAGATAAGGGGGTACCACATAAATAATAGATGCAAGAGCTGGTGTATTTCGATTAAGTTATTATATTTACATACACGTACTGTATAATTTTTATGCAGTCCGTGTTTTTATATGTAAAACTATTATTATTAATTAAAAATTGTGACATATGACATTAGTCAATTTAATATTAAATAATCTACTGCATAATGGTAAATTTTCGGTACACTATACACCAATAACTTCCGTGGCATACTTAATTTTCTTTAAATAAATGAAATAAATAATATATTTAGCCATCAACTAAAATTTTACAATGATCTAGAAACACGGTTGAAATTTTCTTGTTAATGTAAAAATACCTGTGCTTCTTCAATTTTTTCAACACTAGGTGTGTTTGCAAATTCAGATACGACGATTAATTGAAATTACTTTCGCAAATTTGTTCAAAAAGTAATCTGAAATTAATATTAACATTGAAGAGGTAAAAACAAAAATATTATGAAAAATTACATGTACTGGCATTCCATGAAACGTTAAAATACGATAAAGTATGATGTTCGATGCACTAAGAGACAAGTATATTTACAAATTTTACCCAAAATACTTGTGTTTTCAAATGTTGAATCTGTTTGTAATCGAACCCAGGACTCTACTTTGCCATCTTCAGCGCTCTGTATTATTAATTATATAAAGAAGCTTACCCAGTGATCCACTAGATTCTGACAGTAAATAAGTTAAGAAAACAAAGCTCAGATGACGCATTTTTAACATTTATCGATTGTATTACTACTTTTTCCAATAATTTAATGTTTACATCACTAACGATAATCGAATACTGAAGTTGTTTGCGCAAGACCTATCGACTATATACTTATTTACGCGTCAGATCAAAACGTGGCAAATATTTTTATTTATTTAACCCTTTCACGTACAAAACTGATGTGTAAAAGTTTTATGTTAATGACTGCTTTAGGTTGTGTGTTGAGGGATATTATGAGCCTATTTCTTTGTTGGTAAAAATTATACAAGAAACAGTAGACTATCCTGTAATAGTTGGGACAAATATGTCCCAGTATGCATTAACTGGCGACAATTAATGGATTTTATAGGGTTTGTAAATTTAGGTACTATAGAGATTTATGGAAAAATAACAACAGCTTTTAGTTAAAAAATGTTTATTTATATGTATATTTATTTATGAAACTCAACAAAAGAATTCTGTTTGCTGTGAAGCCTAAATTCACATTACATAAATCACACACATTGTTAGTGCGATTCTCAACACCGATCTTAGCACATTGCGCACATCTTTTACGTGAAGATTCTTTCTTCAGCACGTAGGATGGTAAGAATCGCTTGTTTCCTATATTTTGGATTCGTTTTTTTGTCATAAAGGTTGACGGTAAAGCATGCTTTCTTAGAGAAAATGTCCCGATCATCGCCCTCGCCACAACTTGGCGATATTCTAGCGACGAAAGTAAACAACCTTCGATTAGATGTTCTCCATGCAGTTTTTTTATATATTATAGACGAATTATTTATTGCTAAGTCTAGTAAGTCAAAAAAAAGCCGAAGGTAATATTTTATTTTAGATTTTCTGTCAATTTCATAGGTCACTTTTCTTTTAGTCATTGGATCTACTACTCCCATATTTTTATTATATTTACAAACAATATCGGGACTTGTAACCTTTTGCATTGTGCCGAACCTACTCGTTTACGTTTCATCTTTTGTATAGGTATTGGCGACAAGAAATTGGTGAGGAGAAAGCGGCGCGCTTTATTTTTCATTCACTTGATGAAAGAAATTCCCTCGAAACTGATTGTATAGATATCGCCTCTCTTCATGTCTTTATCTAATAGTAGATATTTCGGGGTATGTTTCCGCTGAGTGCAGACAGTGCCGCAAGATTTTATATTTTGCTTGGCTTTGTTGTATTGAGAGGAGAATTGAAAAAGTTGTCAACGTAAACCTCGCTGCCTAGTCCGATCAAAGGTTTTGTGAGATCTGGTACGACAGTCTCTCCTAGTCCTATTTCTGGTACCGATCTTTTTTACCCGTGTAAAAGTCAAACTGTAATAAATATCCTGTTTTAGAATCGGCGCGGCACCACATATTGAAACCTCTCTTCACAGGTTTATTTTGCATGTATTGTTTCATGATGTTATGCCCTTTGAACTTCACCATGTGTTCATTTATGGACTGCGTAATGGTATTATTCATGACCGATTGGAAAGATAAATTGTAAAGTGATTCATCACTCTTCGAATTTTATAAGCTCTATCGAAATATGGCGATATAGGTGGTGGTTGCTCCGAGTTATTGCAAAAATATAAATTTTTTCTTATTTCTTCGAATCTCGATAAAGGCATAACTGTGGCTAAATAAGGCACACCCATATCAGGTTCAGTAGATCAGTAATTTCTGAGAGTAGGTAATACATGATAACCCATAACCTAATTCATACCGATTAAAGCTGTCATTTCTTGAAGGTCTGTAGTGAAAACTGAACCATTGTTATGAACATAGCGTAAGGACTCCGCTAATGTAATTTCTTGAACAACGCCTTGATATTCGTAGTTGCCTCAAAAACATCTATGGGTTTCAGAGATTCTGACTGTTGCAGTATGTTTACCTTGCCAAAGTCATAATCAGTCTCAGAAAATAGGGAAGGCTGATAAGTGTTCTTCTTCCACTTGAAGTCCGGTACTGCACCACTCAAAGGCGAATCAGGAGATGATGAAGGGCCAGGAGTTTTATCTGGACCTGGCGTGGAATCTGTTGCACCTGTGGGTTCAATTATAACTTCAGATACTCCAGCTTCCATATCTTGGAGAATGAACGCCTGGTGTTCTTCATCCAAGATTAGTGCATCTTCATCATCAATATGATCAGCCATGAGATATTCTTCTACTTCTTTGCCATTGAAATGAAATAATATAGTACCCTTTCAAACTTAAAAAATAGATAATTGTATAAATTTACTATAATTATTCAATATGGAACATAAAATATAATATTCGGAATGTTAGAAGCTGTTGACTTTTCATGCAGATTGGGACACCCACGTCCTTACTAATATATCTTCTATTTTCATTGCTTTTATAGGTAATATTACAATAAATAATAATAAATTCATAATGAATACTTACCGTTCTACCACAATCAATTACAAAAATTATCAAAACTGCAAAAATATATTTTAATTAACTTTCGAAAATTATTTACGAAGCGCGCGAAAACATCCAAAAAGTTTTAAGGAGGTATTCGCGTTTTATTTTACTTTTTACGACCTCCTATAATTAAGGAGATATTATAAAAGTTTCGCTAAAAACAATTTATAAACAATATTGTTTTGTTTTTAGTAATTGACTATATCAAGTAAGGTATAAGTTCCGGCATTCCGTATGTAGTTTTATTTTATACTAGGATAATATTATTAAATGTTTGTACTTCAAATAAAAAATAAAATAAATAAGTCTTAGCATTAATTTAACACGGAATCTTTTACTATTTCATTATTCACTGAATCTTATAAAAAATATACTAGTTCATAATGTCAATAAATAAGTTTTAATAATTTTGTTAAGATATTGTTAAAGAATAAGAATAATAATTTTACTATGCCTTTGTATCTACTCAATTTGATTTTATAATAATAACAAATAATTGATCCAATTCTATTTTACTTATTTTTGTTGTTCGAATTATTTTTTGATTTTCACTGTATTGTTTGTAAGACTCTGCTCATCCCTTATTAAAAAGAAGGATGAGCTCCGTCAAAAGGGGGGAGATGTTATGTCCAACCCTAGTTAGTTAAAAGCGCTGACTCGATTATTATATTTACTATAAAAGCCTAGAGTTTGAGGTAATCGAGGCAGTGCAGCTCCAACCCATATTAAGTGCATATCGCACACGCCGTTCGCGGCTTTTGTACATTTTTTGTATTATTTTAATATTGGGGAAATAAACCAAAAGAACTTCCGGGATTGGGTGTAAAAGTTTTTTTTTTTAAAAACACCTTCAGATCAGCCCTCCTAACAGAACCAAGACATTACGATTTCACGACCGCTCGATATCCACTTGAGCTATTACGATCATCAACACATTCTCAAAATTTACCTTCTTATATTGTAGCAATTTTTCCTTGCCTGAAAGTAAGTAAATGCCGTATGCATGTAAAAGCTTATAACTTAAAATGTAAATTTGATGTGTAATAAGTGGAATTTAGAAAACAATGGAATAGGTTCTTGTGGCTTGGAAAAATATTAACGTACCAATTTCCTATTATTTAAATAATGTCGAAAAAGTTTTAAGTTAAATATTAGAATCAGTCGTGAGTTTGCGGAAATACATTATATTACAGATAATAAAATTAATTAGCTAGGATACGCACGCACAGGGAGGTCATTTTCAGAGGTCACACTGACGTTGATGCGTCAGCCCAGACTTGGTAGCACTCCTGCTTATAGCATGATGTTATATACCAAACCATGGCTGAGATTCGCCTCCGATGAGCACCACAGAGGAAGGAATAAAAAGTTCCATACCCTGAAGTACCACATCAGCGACAGAATCCGCAAAAACGTTGGGCGAGAAGCAAAACCCGCCCCCAAGGTTAAGTTGCTAAGAAAGACCGCATCCTATCCCAATACAACCAGCCTGCAGAATGCAACCACGATTTCAGCGTGTGTGGCACCACACTTCGGACAAGACAATAGTCCGAGGAGCCTAAAGCGGCGTTGAAGGAAATCTGATATCCGTCCGGATGAAAGGTCAGCAGAAGGTCCAACAGGTAAGGTGTATGGTCCTCTACATAACGAATTCGCGTAGGCAAAGTAACCAGTTGTGTCTTATCATATGCCAATGAAAAAATCATGAACAGATCTCCCCGCATGATCAGTTAAACGTGAACTAAGCCATTCGGCGTGACGGACGTTAAAGTCGCCGAGGATCACGATCTCTGTGGAAGGGATCTGCTGTAGCAGCGAATCTGTAGCCATTTGGACGTGGTCGAAGAGTCGGTCTGTTTCGGTATTACTGCTATGGGACCTATAGAGACACCAGTAGAAGTGCGGATGGTCGTCGTTGTCTTCGCGTAGCCAAAGGATGGACAGGTCTAAACCTTCAAGACTGCCGAGGCGTCGAGAACAGATGTCCTCTCTGACGTAAACGCAAACTCCAGCCCGAGGCACAAATGAGTGTTCCAGTTTGTATCCCGGGTAGAAGAATTACTAGACATCAGCCGGAGAGGACACCTGCATCTCGGTCAGAAAGAGCAGAGCCGGCCTCGCCGTGTCGAGATGATAGAGAACGGCGTTTAGGTTAGAGTGAAGTCCCCTGATATTGTAGAAATTCACGGATAGCGTGGCAAGGGTCGCCTTGGTCTTGTTGCTCCGTTTGCCCAGAGCAGTTGTAGTCTTGAGCTGAATTGCCAAGAATACGATGTGTCTCCTCATTTTCTAGAAATATTTAGAGATCTTCGGAAGTTGATAATCTATGTGCAAGTACGAGTTTCACTGATACCACCGAGCTACGGTGGTTATGCGAATGAATCTATTTTGGACGAATATTAAAGAGCTGTTAAAGGGCGAAGCTTTCGAAAGCACTCTGAGAGCGCAGAGGTCAGGTGGGCCTTTAACTCTCAGAACAGCTCTTTTAGCGTAAAGTAGCAGTGACGTTGTTTCGGTATAGAGCACAGGAGACACTTTTACTGCTTACTAAGTATTCTGTGTTAGTTTTCAGTGGTGAAAACACACGTACGAGAACTGAGTGCGAAAATATGTCGGATAACAATCTCTGTCTATCTTATTTTACCAATATGCTACACTAGACATGTGATGATACATGAACTAGCAAAAATAGCGAGCGAGTTGATTACTGTATATGATAGGATTATCTGAGGTCCAAAGAGAGGGTAAGGACATCGCAATCCTCGAAACCAACATTATTTTCTATCAGAGGAAGGGTGACCATCTGTCCCAAGGAGGTGTCGTATTTATCGTCCAATTGAGTGTGTCGACGAGAGATGCTTATCTTGTACTCAGAATCACCAAACGGTATTTTTGGAAGATCATAGATGCTTACGCACTAACTCAGCATATTCCGATGAGGAGTAGAAGGAAATGAATAAGAATATCTCAAGAGTCATTTTTCCAAAACCTAATGAGATATTACAACGTAAAACCAGGCACAAGCGAGAACGGTGAGCTGAAGATAGGGAAATTTGGAATCATCATCATCATCATCATTACAGCCCTCTACAAGTCTACTGCTGAACATAGGTGTCCCCTAAGTAATGCCACAAAGCACGGTCCTGAACCACCTACATCCATCGACTTCCTGCATGTCTTACCCGCCGAGTTGAATCCGTTGATTAATCTCTCGGTCGAAATTGGACTTACCTAGTTAGACTATTTGTCCCAGGTAAACGTACTCGTCAACAACGTCGAGCATAGTGCTCCCAACAACTACAGGCATCGGTGTGAAATGTACATTAGTTTTGTCCATGTTCATCTTAAGACCTATCCGTTGGGAGACACTATCGAAGTCATTGACCATAGTGCTTAGGTCCTCCAGAAATTCTGTCATAACGACTATGTCTTCGGCAAATCGAAGATGAATGATGTATTCGCCATTGGTGTTAATACCGTATCCTTTCCAGTCCAGTAGCTTCAAAACATCTTCCAATGCAGCGGTGAAGAGTTTCGGGGATATAACGTCACCCTGTCTTACACCTCTCTGCAGTTGGATAGGTTTTGAACTCTGGTTCTATACTCAGATAGCCATCGTAGCCCTACTATACAAACACTTCAGCACTTCGATATACCGACCGTTAACTTGGCACCGCTGAAGAGACTGTAGCACCGCCCATATTTCGACGGAATCAAAGGATCTCTCATAGTCCACATACACCAGGCAAAGTGGCAGATCGCACTCTTCGGTCTTCTGTACAATCTGCTGCAGGGTATAAACGTGGTCTATGGTAATGAAGCCATTCGAAAATGGGGTTGTTTGGGAGGCTGGAAGTCGTCGAGTCTGTGTGAGAGACGACTCGTAATGACTCTCTAAAACAATACGTAGATGCGACTTACAAGGGAAATCGGTCTGTAGTTCTTCAATAGAGCGTTTTTGCTTTTCTTGATGAACAAGACCACCGCACTTTTGCTCCATGCCTCTGGAGTAGTGCCACCATGGAAGACGGAACTGAAGAGTTTCTGAAGGACTTTAAGTACCGGTGTTCCACCCGCTTTCTGAAGCTCCGCTGTAATTCCAACCTCACCTAGGACCTTGCCGTTTTTAAGGTGTTGGAGACCCATTTTAATCTCGCTCAGGCCGACGTCCAGAATATCATTGGAATAGTGTTGGATAGGACTTGCTCTTGGGACGTTATCACTATTATTGCGATGAACGATGATGTGTAAGCCGTCCATAGACCTCTCATCTCTCAGGAAGGTGTCCCGGAAGATGTGGAGCAGCTTTGACAATTGGCTCTTCCTGGCAGACAGATCTCTGGCAAAGACTTTGGATTCCTGCTTTCGCTCGTTCGTTTTTCAATACGAGTTGTTTTGAAGTTGTGTAAGTCCCGCCGCATGCATTTGGAGATTTGTCTGTTCAGTTGCCTGTATGCTGTCAAATCTGCTGACGACTGCAGCTTCATCTCTCATCTAACATCCACGAGATTAAGTGTGTGATCGGAGATTTTTTGTGTTCTTCTTGGGTCTTGTAGAAACTTAGCTCCGACCGCATAGAAAGTTTCCACGAGCTTGTCATTTCACTTTCATTTGACATTGCAATCTTCTAGGCACTGAAAACAGTTTTGTAACTGCAGCTGAAAGGTTTCGAGTCTTTTGATTAGAACACGAAGGGGACGGATCGTTGATTTCATTAGACGAGACC